AATAGAAGCAAAGAATAAAGATCTCAAGAGTGTAGATTCTGTTTTTTTGCATTATAATATGCAAAATTTTAAAATAAATATTTCATTAAATTTTAATTATAATATATTATACTTAGTTTAATATTAATTTAAATATTAAATTTATTTTATAGGAAATTATCATTGTGTAGGTGAAAATGGAGAAAGTTTATTTTGATTATTTGAGACATCCAAAGATAAGAAAGATTTGATCATAAATGCAGATAGTGCAGTTCAAACATATTGGACTCATATTCATAATGATCCTTCTCATGTTCCTCTGAAATTTAAAAAATTTAATTATTTATCTTCAGGTATCTTATGAAAAATTATTTTATTTTATTTTTTTTTTTGCATAAGCATTTAAATAAACTTTAAGTTTTTTTTATAAAATAAGTAGTAGCATCATCAATTATACCAGCATCACCATCAGTATCACCAACAGCAGTAGCATCACAAACACCATCACCACTAATACATCACCACTAATATTAGCAGCAGTAGCAGGCAGTGTTGTTATGGGATATTTTTGGGACATGACCTGGGATATTGGGACTTAATGTGAAACATTTTGAAACATAGTGTGGGACAGTCTCAAAATGTTTAAGACATTGAAAATATACATCACTGGTAGCAGCAATACCATCATCATCATTATCATTATCACCAGCACCAAAAACACCATTACTATCAATAGCAGTAGCAGCAGTAATGTCATCACCACCAGCAGTAACAAAAACACCATCACTACTAATAGCAGCAGCAGTAGCAATACTATACCACCAATAGCATCAGCAGCAGCATCAGCAGCAATACCATCACCACTATCAGCAGTAAATACAACCTAACCATTTAGTCAACATTTTGTGATTTTTTGTAATAACAATAAAGTTGTATATTAATTTCAAAATTTTATTTACAGTAATAAAAAAGGAAAATTTGAAGAATATTATCTAGATCATTCTTGGTTTATAAATTAAATTTTTATTGTTTGTTTATTAATATTTTAATATTATTGATTTTAATATATATAATTTAATATTTAATTGTTGCGTTAACAAAATGCTATATGATATCAATAATTTAGCAGATTATCTTTCTGACCTAATAGCATTTTATTATCTGTCAATGTATAATAATTTAAGTAATCTTTGTTTTCCATTTCAGGTAAATTATTTAATTAAAAAAAATTATTATTTTTAATAAACTTTTTTTTATTATGCTTCAAATTTATATTTGATTTGATTTGATCAAATTCAAATCAAAGAATGATTTATTTGATCAAATCTAAATCAATGTT